TTTCAGCTGTATACTTTAACAGTAAGGCATATATATATTTAAACTGTGTGTTCACCTACACATTTCTTTTCAATCATCCATGGGGCATTCACCAAAACGGACCATATCCTGGATCATGAAATAAATTTAAAATAATTGAAATTATATAGAGTATGTTCTTTAACCATAACAATATCAGATTACAAATCAAGAATAGACAATAGACAACAGGAAAACATAAGTACAAAATTAAGCAATCAAAACACTTGCAAATAAATGATAAGTCAAAGAGGAACTCTTAAAGGAATTTTTAAAACCTACATTGAAATAAATGGCAATGAACATAAAACATTGAAATATATGGAATACTATTAAAGAGTACTGAAAGACAAATTTATAAGTGCTAAGTGATTTCCTTAGAAACAAGGAAGTTCTCAAATCAATGATCTTTGTTTCTTACTCAACAACCTAGAAAAAGAGCAAACCCAAAGCAGGACCAGAGCAGAGATCAATAAAATTGAAAAGAAAACAAGAGAAAAATCAGTGAAAAAAAATAAAAAGCTGGTTCTTGGGAAAGAAAAAAATAACATTTATAAATCTCCAGCAAGACTAACAAAAAAAAGACACAAATCAACAGCAACAGTGAAATAGTGAACCATTAAAAAGGTAAAAAGGAATACTACAAATAACACTACACTTATAAATTTGAAGAAATTGAACAGTTCCTGAAAAACCATAAACCATCAAAACTTACTCAACATGAAATCATTTGAATAGCCCTGTACCATTAAGAAATTTCAATTTCAATTAATAATCTAAAAGTTCCTGAAAAAGAAATTTACCAGCCCATATGGTTTCACTGGAGAATTATACCAAACATTTAGGAAAAGATTAATACCAATTTAAGACAATCTCTTCCAGAAAATCTGTTCTGGAAAATGCCTCTTCCAGAAATCAGTCTATTCTGTAACTTTTGTCAAGAGGACAAATTCTATCAACAGAAAGAGGGAACCACTTCCCAACTCATTTTGTTAAAATGAAAGACAGTACCAAATGTTAAAATGAAAGACAATACCAAAAAAAAAAAAAAAAGCTGCAAACCATTATCTCTAATGAACTTCAACAGAATAATAGCAAACCAAAACCCACGAAAAGAATTATATACCATAGTTATATACCATAACTAAGTGTGGTTATTTATTCCTTGATTTATTCCAGGTGTGAAAGACTGGTTCAAAATTTGAAAATTAATCAGTGTAATTCATCATATCAACAAGCTAAAGAAGAGAAAAAAACATGATCATATTAATTGACAGGAAAAGCATTTGACAAAATCCAACACATTCATGATTTAAAAACTCATCATTAGAAATACAGGAAAATTACTTCAATTTGATAAGGAGTATCTACAAAAAAATCTACAGCTAATGTTATACTTAATGGTAAAAGATTTAATGCTTTCCCCTACATTGAGAAATAAAACAAGGATGTCCACTCTTACCATTCTTATTCAACATAGTACTAGAAATTCTAGCCAATGTAATAAAGCAAGAAAAACAAAATTCATACAGATTGGAAATAAAATTGTCTCTACCTTTGTTTTTGGTGGTTTTGTTTATTTATTTCATTAGCCAGCCATGATTTTTCAAAATAATGTTAAATAATGGAAACGATAGATATCATTCTTTCTTATTTCCTATTCCAAAGCCAATGGCTACAGGATTTCACCACAGGCTATGGTTTTGTTTTTGTCTTTTCGGTTTTTTGTTCGTTTGTTTGTTTGTTGTATTTGGTTTGGTAACTAATGTTTAAGCAGTTTCTGAGTTAATTTAACTTTAAGGAATAGCTGCTAATTTCTCATCAAAATTAAAACTTTTTATCGTAAAAAGGTAAGGTACAAGTTAAAAAAATATTTGCAAACTACATATCTGATAAACAAAAAGCATATACGATATATAAAGAACTCTCAAAACTCAACAGTAAAAAATAATTTAACTAGAAAATAGGCAAAAGGCATGAACAAAATTTCACCAAAGAGGATGTGCATTTGGCAAATACATATATGAAAGCATGTTCACCGCCATTAGCCATCAGTGACATGTAAATCTAAATTATGAGATATCACCGCATGCCTATCAGAAATGTTAAAAAATAGTGACAACGTAAAATGCTGACAAGGATGTGGAGAACTGGATCACTCATACATTGCTGGTGGTAATGTAAAATGGTACAGCCACTCTAGAAACCAGTTGGCAGTTTCTTATAAACAAAACATTCAAAACTGTATGACCCAGCAATTGTACTCTTGGGCATTTATCCCAGATAAATGAAAACTTACATTCACACAAAAACCTGTACATAAATGTTAAGAACAGCTTTATTTCTAACAGCCCAAAACTGGAAACAATCCAGATGTTCTTCAACAGATGAATGGTTAAACAAATTGTAGTATATACATACTATATAATCTTACCCAGTAATAAAAGGAATGAACTACTGATACATGCAATAACTTGAATTTATAGGGAATACGATGAGTTAAAAAAAATCCGAAAAGGTTATATACTATATTTTTCATTTATATAACATTTTTGAATGACAAAAAATTGGAAACAGAACAGATTAGTAGTTGCCAGGAGTTAGAGACAAGGTGTATGTGTGGTTATAAAAGGGTAACATGAAGGATCCTAGTGGTTATAAAACTGTTCTGTATTCTTGATTTTGTTGGTGGATGTACAAGGCTACATATGTACTTTATCTATAAAGTACATATGTAAAGTGTAAAGTACATTGGACAAAGTATACACAGGTTCTCTATTACTTCTCTTATGACTGCATATAAATTTACAATATCCTATTAAAAATTCAATTAAAAAAGGAAATAGTCAAAACTAAAAAAAGGTTCTAAATTTATTGTGGTAATCATATCACAATATAGACACATATTCAATCATTATATTATACCCCTAAAACTAATGTAATGTTATATGTCAATTATATCTCAATTTTTAAAAATCAGGGAATTCAGGTTTCCATTTGGGACCTAGAAAACTGGAAAAAGCAGTTCTCCCACTATTACAACAAATTAAAAAGCTAGAAAATCTTTAAAGTCACTTCTCTTAAATTAATCTGAGGGCTGAGATTGCAGGGTAACCAAATAACCTGAAATCTAAGAAAAGACAAACACATCAAAGTAGAGGCAGGACATAAGCACTGCTTATCTGAGGCAGATACCATTAAATGCTATATAATCTGGTAACAATAACAAAAAATCATCTAAAAGTTGTAACAAATTGCTAAAGGCTGAGTATGGACTAGCTTGAGAATATAGAACCTTGGAAGCACAGAAAAATTCGCAACCACTTGCAGGCTCTTCTCCACAGACCTCATTAGTACTTACAAGAAAGATTTGAGGGGCAGGATGAGGCTTCTGAGAAAGCCATCCTCCTGGTGCCAGTCTGGAAGAGAACAGAAGCAGACATAGGAAAAGCACAAAGTGTTCTTCCTTCAGATCCTTCTCCCCTATCTTCCCTAACGAATACTAACCTCAAGCTTCTGGGGCAAGAACAGCAAACCCTATCATCTTTAGAGCACTAATGAAGACCCATTGCATCCGAAGGAAGGAAATAGAAATAAACCTTCTTATCCTGGGAGAGAGGCAGGAAATAAAATACATCAGGGGGCCAGACCATGAGAGATACTCTGTCACTAGGGGCAGGGCAAGGCCACTGAGCAGGTGCCACTCTGATATCTAATGATATAGTTCCTGCCTGTGAGGCTGAATTAGGACAGCAGAGAATGCTCCTTTCCCCCTGCACTCCCACGTAATGAGCAGTAAAAGAAGAATATGTTTAAGTGGCACAGAAGTACATATAGATGTTCAACATTAGTCATTAGGGAAATGCAAACTAAAATTTCAATGATATCACTCCACATCTCGTAGAATGGTTAAAATTAAAAAGATTTTTTTTTTTTATAATACCAAGTGCTTGCAAGATTATGACCTAACCAGAACCCTCACACATTGCTGATGTAAATTCAAAATGGTATAGCCACTTTGGAAACCAGTTTGGCAGTTTCTCATAAGGCTAAATGACACTTGCCACCTGACCCAGCAATTCCACTTCTAAGTATTTACCCAAGTGAAATGAAAACTTACGTCACAGAAAAAACTTTACATGAATGTTTATAGCGATTTTATGCATAAGCCACCCAAACTAGAAAAACCTCAATGGTCCCTTAACTGGGGAAGGGATAAACAATGTTACACCCAGTCAGCGAAACACTAATAAGCAATAAAAAAGAAACAATACATGTAACAACAGCACAGTGGAATCTCAGATGCATTATAAGTGAAAGAAGTCAAAAACAAAAGTTCACACACTATAGGATTCCATTTATACAATATTCTTGTAAAGGAAAAACTTATAGGGACAGAAAACAGAGTACGGATTTCCAGAGGCTTGTCTTTAGAACCAGAGAGGACTAGCTGGGCTGGTAACGACTCTGAACCTAGTTGGAGAATGACAGCATCTTCAAAAGAGTGTTAGGAATAAATAAAGTCATAATGTCTGTCACGTAGTATGAAAATCAGTTGCTGCCTCCCCTCCCCGCACCCCATAATTCTATGATCCAGAAAAGGCCTAATAAAATCCCAAGTTAACTGGGCAATGAGAGGATTTAAACACTGGTCAAAACAAGAGTGGCGCATCTTTACCTGGGGTGGTTTGGGAGTCCCACCTTCATTTCCCTAAGTTTGGCAATGTGGAAATGGGATTTCACCCTGCGGAGAAAGACCGGGTCCCCACCCTGTCCAGGGCGGACCTCGCAGAGCTGGGCGTCCGCCCCGCGGTGCTCAGAGCCTGGGCGCAGCCGCCCCCG